TAAGCTATAAAAATCGAATCCTTGAAATAATCCACAGGAACAAGTGTGAGGTATCTAGGATAATATCTCTTGTTAGCCTGTTACAGGCTAGCATAACTTGGAACAATATTTCAGCAGTCACACACCCTTACCAAGTAAGCGGTAAAACAAACTGGAAGCGAACTGGGTCTGCTATGCCGAAACTCCTGTAGATCATGCTTACCGGCGCTTTTGGAAGAAGTACCATAATACCTGTGTGTTTATTTACACAAAGCTTCACTACGAAGTCTGTATATCAGCGGAATCTTGGAAGTAAGACTCGATATATGCAGCATTTTAAGATTTTTTTTTTCACTAGCCGATATTTTATTCTATTAACATTAAAAGGCTTTTCGTACTCTAGTAAAATTATTGATCACATTTCGCCAATGAGCTGTTTACATTGAATATTTGAAAAGAAAACTAAAATAATCAATACATTCTATAGAATATCATTGAGTTCGCGTCACGAGTCCAAAGGGTTTTGTGCATTACAGCCGTCCTCCCACATATATTAAGCAACTTTTTCATTTAATTTATTTTAATGAACCAAAACTTGAATAATGATAAACTGATGTGTTCGCATTTAATTAATATTAATTTTAATAACAATTTCCTTTAAAAAAGGACTTGGTTTTTTATTTCATAATTGTTATTCTAATAGTAATTTTTTTTTTTTTTTTTAATATTTCGCATTTTTATTTCTCATATTTTTTTTAACATTTTTGCTTTTTATATTTTTTTTTACATTTTCTTTACATTCGTCCTTTTTCGACGAAAGCCTTATGAATGATATAGCTCGCAACAAATATCCTATGAAGTTCCACTTAATCTTAATCTTTAATATATACTGAATGGATGATTCCATTCATGCATGTATTAACTTTTGAGTTTATGATTTCGATTATATACTGTAACGATTCCATCAATAAACACATTTGTGCGAGCAACATCTGGGAGTCAACTTGTTGTCTTAGCAACATCCACAAATATGTAGAAACAAAGGTAAAGGTAATCATATACCAGACACTTCGGAGCTCATCCTGACGGCTAGGCTAGACCTTGTCATGTCACCAATTAGCATTCATGATCTCAAGCCAACAAGCAAACGACATTTAAGAACGACCTTCGGTAATTCGATGATTTATAGATGTCAATCATATACGCTAAGTCAGGTCATACAGAATGAATTTCGTCGCTACTAAAGCTTTGTGAAGGGATCTCATGAAACACTGCGAAATATAAAAATATGAAAGTCACTATACAAAAATATATCACAACAATGAATTTTCAAACCTTAAGGTGGTATTCTAAGCTAATTACAGCTTTACGTCAATTAGAGCGAAATAAATCATCAGTCAACAATGAAGTTCTAACAAATATCTGTGATCCGCATTCAGGTCGTTAGATATGGTGGTGGTTATCTAACGACTGGTTGGCTTTTGGATTTCAAAATCAAAGCTTGTGCTTGATTTGAAATTAGCCCCCCCGCCACGTCAAGGCAGCCAACCTCGGGGGGGTAGTAAGTGGTAGTGATTGCCTCCCTCGGTGTATCTGAAAATAAAGTTATTCCTATCAATTTTTCGAAGTACTTTGTTTTATGTTACAAGTACTGAAATAATATTTGCAAACCAGATATAAAAAATATATAAATATGAATCAAAATTAATTTATTTTTTATATGTATATATATATATATATATTCATACAATTTAAATAGTTAAATAGTTTAATAAATGTTACGATTCTCAAGAGACATACAGATATTTACACAATTTCTTTTTGAATATCTTCCACTAAATGTTAATGTATTCTTCGAAAACCAACAATTTTAAACTGACTTCACCATAACTTACAATATATCATTTAATGATATAAAAACTGTTGCTGACTAAGAAATTTGTAAATATTTTTTTATGAAACTCAACATTTAGTTTATTCCGTTAACCTATAAAAATGACATTATCGATTGAAAGAAAATGTTAGCTTCTACTATTTTGATTTTTAATGAAACTGAGTTAACTGAGTTAAAATTGAAACTAAAATTAAGCAGATCGGATCAGATCAAAATACAATAGTCAAAATATTTTTCATTATATACAGAGAATCGCAATATACAGATACATTCTATAAATACACAAATATTAAAACATATAAACATGCATTTATTTATTCGTCTTAAGAAACAAGCGTCAATTTCGTCATATGTATATTTTTTGTATTTCACACCGAAATTCAGGGACCGAAAATAACAGTTATTTCAAAATCTGCAACAAAAAGTTGTGTAAACTCTTATCATTTTAACAGCGTTTATCCTTTATATTATGCATGCTTTTTATATATGAACACTTTAAAATAAAACTCAAAAAACAATTATTAAATTTGCTTTATATTTTATTCCTCAATAATAATTATTTTGTGTGCGTTTTATTTTTTCGCGCAGAAATAACTCTAGAAATTCTGCTTTTTATTTTGAAACGCACAAATAACTGTTACTTTTGCGTTATAAATATAAAAATCATGAATAACTGGCACTGGCCAGTTATTTAAGGGTTGGTGCACGTAAACAGTTACTCTTGGTTTTTGTTTTTATATTCTTTGGTGTAAGTTAATGAACATTTATTTTAATGATCATTATAAAATTTTAAGTTAATTTGTATAAAAACTAAAAACTTAACTTAGTCTTTACCGGTGCCAACTCTTTAATACATTTTCTATGGAATTTCTGTTTTTTTTTTAAGATAACTTATATGGTCACTGCACTCAATAAAGCGCAGTTTATATACACGAATTTGGCCCACTGAGGCCTCACCAATGTCTTGACGAACAAATATTTAACATGTCCCCACATGCACACTAGTAGTATAGTTCATCTCACTCATACGCACAACCAATACAAAATTTTATCATATACTTTCTGTCTTCACACTTTACTATTATACGCGTATATTCGATTCGTATGACGTCATCGCCTACCTCAACGCCTCACACTATCTTAAGCAATTTATGTTTAATAAAATGTTTATATAAAATTAAAAATTTAAACAAATAATATATTTGATATTATAAACGACAGCGAAATTAAAGTAAAATCTTACCTTTTCGAAATTAGAATGCTTAACTGAAGGACCTCCATAAACATTTATTAGCCATAAATCATTTTTAATTATATCAAATTTTAATTTTATATTTTTATTACGCTTTATTCAACATTTAAAAAAAATCGCATTTTGTCTAGTTGGATACATAATACTCGTATTTAAATAATTACTTGAAGTGATCTTAAACCATCGTTTGCAAGAAAGATAAAATTGGCGAACCGTATTCCATTAAAATTTTCAGAAACTGAAATTCGCCATTAGAATCGTTCCTTGCTTAACACTCGTAGAACGTTTACACAGGCACTGAAAACTGAATATAGGAATAATACGTTTACATATCATGTTTGGTTGATGCTTCTGGTTGATGATTATATATTATGTGTATATTGTATATAAATACATTCAACGAAGACTAATGTTAATATTTCTTCTACAAATATTTGAATAATATTTAGAATTTCAATTAAACTCTTTTAATAAAATTACTTACTCTTCTTTATTTACTTATTACTTAATTCTTCCAGTTAATTATCCAGCGCATGTGCACCTATTAAGGCCGAATGACTTGATGTTTTCATCAACTAAATCAGAAAGCACAATCGAAGCGAGTCGATATTTTTCATACTTTAAGCGGAATTAGTTGGGGCGTGGGCTAATTGGAAGCTAATTATTTTCAGCTTAACAGAAAGAAGTCAGGTACAAAATTTATTTTGCAAGAAAAATTGTAGAAAAATTTTTTGAGAGGAGTTTTCTTTTATTTTTTCGTAAGAAATAAATTTTATTTTTATGCTTCAGACGTAAGAGAAGTTTTCTATGCGCTGTCAGAAACAAAAAAATCACTTTGTATTCGGTACTTGAGTAATTTGTGTAATTTTTTGGGTCTTTCGCCATGAACGTTTTAGTTGATGAAAACATCAAGTCATTCGGCCTTAATAGGTGCACATGCGCTGGATAATTAACTGGAAGAATTAAGTAATAAGTAAATAAAGAAGAGTAAGTAATTTTATTAAAAGAGTTTAATTGAAATTCTAAATATTATTCAAATATTTGTAGAAGAAATATTAACATTAGTCTTCGTTGAATGTATTTATATACAATATACACATAATATATAATCATCAACCAGAAGCATCAACCAAACATGATATGTAAACGTATTATTCCTATATTCAGTTTTCAGTGCCTGTGTAAACGTTCTACGAGTGTTAAGCAAGGAACGATTCTAATGGCGAATTTCAGTTTCTGAAAATTTTAATGGAATACGGTTCGCCAATTTTATCTTTCTTGCAAACGATGGTTTAAGATCACTTCAAGTAATTATTTAAATACGAGTATTATGTATCCAACTAGACAAAATGCGATTTTTTTTAAATGTTGAATAAAGCGTAATAAAAATATAAAATTAAAATTTGATATAATTAAAAATGATTTATGGCTAATAAATGTTTATGGAGGTCCTTCAGTTAAGCATTCTAATTTCGAAAAGGTAAGATTTTACTTTAATTTCGCTGTCGTTTATAATATCAAATATATTATTTGTTTAAATTTTTAATTTTATATAAACATTTTATTAAACATAAATTGCTTAAGATAGTGTGAGGCGTTGAGGTAGGCGATGACGTCATACGAATCGAATATACGCGTATAATAGTAAAGTGTGAAGACAGAAAGTATATGATAAAATTTTGTATTGGTTGTGCGTATGAGTGAGATGAACTATACTACTAGTGTGCATGTGGGGACATGTTAAATATTTGTTCGTCAAGACATTGGT